GACCTTCCACAAAGCAACCGGCTGTGGAAGGAAAAATTTGTCTTTATAAAATTCCCCACCGTTTCTCCTTTGGCCGGCATAAAGTGGAGCGACCACCTCCTGAAACCGCAATACACTGAGCCGGCTAACGCTCCAGACTTGGAAGAAAGCTTGGAGAAACTCTTACAAGGGGACCCGTTCACCGGGCAAATGTTCCATTACGGGGCTTGGATTTGGAGGATTTCACCGGGTGGCACGGGTACCCCCCGGGCTGATGAAGCAGCGGGGCACGGGGTACCCGCCCCGGGCAACACTGCGGAAGCTAGGGCTTTCAGTCACGCAGGTATCCTCCCTTCCTCTTCTTCCTTCTTCCTTTCTATATACCGGTCCATGCTTGATTAATATTTTCGCTTGTTTTGCAGAGATGAACTTCAGAGCATTCAACATCCCCACGAAGAAGACCGGCGGCTCCTCCTCTGCTGCCCCCAGAACTGTACCGGTGCAACTGGAACCGGTGGAGATCAATTCCGAGGAGGAAACTTCTCCGACCGGGAGGACCACGGTAAACCCTCCCCTGGACAAGGGGAAGGGGAAGGTCCGGACGAAGCATGCCGCCACCACTCATCCCTCAGCCAAGAGGAGGAGGGGAGAAAATGTCCCGGCTTCAGAGTCGCTAGAGGAGCTCTGGGTAAAGATGGGGCAGAAGTTGAAGGAGGTAAAACTTCCGACCGGTATATTCTCTTGAATTTGTTGTCTTTCTGTCGCACTAACCGGTGCGTTTCGTTTTGCAGATGGGCGAGGTTGGGCCCGAGACCTTGGAGAGGCTTGTTGAGGACTCCCCTCCCCGGTCACTCCAGCTGGAGGAGAAGCTGAAAGGAGTCGAGGCCCACAACCGGGAGCTGCAGGACTTGATAGCCCGGTAGCTTGATGAGATGGCCAATCTTTCAGCGATTGCCGGGAGGGCCAAGGCAGAGACCCTCCAGCTGAAGGAAGAGAACCTGAAGCTGGTGGAGGACTTGGAGCTAAAGGAGCGAGAGTTCCCCGGCAGGGCCAAGCAATGGGTGGGGGAGAACTTGGAGGAAACGGCCCGGGTGATTACTTCTACTCCGGAGGTGACGATGGAGGCCTTCAAGTTCATCTACCGGGAACCCAACGGGAAGGAAATGGTCACCCAGGTCGGGTCCTACGGTTTCATGTCCGGGTAGAAACGAGACCGGGAGGCTACCCACGCAATCCTGGCTGAGCGGGACCCGGCCTTCTCTGCCGATGCTTATGGCCTGGCGCCCATCCCCGACGAAGAACCCGAGCCCCCCTTCCCCTTGGAATGAAATCTCCCCGGCTGCGCCCGGTTGGATCGTTTTAAACTTTAAGCTCATTTCCCCGGGAATGCCCGGTGTAATATGTAAACACTTCACATTTTTATTTGAATGCCATGTTTGTTTTCCTACCCGGTTATTCTTCCATATCTGCTTGCTTGTTGATTTATACTTTGATCTTGCTCCTTAGAATACCATCCTAGAAATTCTGACCGGTACGTAGATCAACCATTACCGCGTTCGACCGGTATAACTTCAAAGTTCTCTCTGGTCACTTCATTTCAAGGATCAGCCCGAGAAACTTTGACCGGTTAAACTTCAATTTTCGCTTTTCGAGCGTCTTCATCACTTTGGCCAACTTAAGAAGTTTGACTAGCCGAACTTTACTTTTGCCTTTTGGATAACTTCACCAATTCTTTTGGTAAAATTTACTTTGACCGGTGAATTCCCACTCCATGGTTTGACCGGTCAATTGCCTTGCCTTCCGATGGACGTAGAACTTTCGAAGTTCTGTTGTGCCCATACCCGACCGGGGTATTCTCTTTTTTTTTTATCGGTAGGTTGTAGATGGAAACACTTGTAACCTAGAAATTCTTGAAGTATCCTTAACCGGTAAGAATACTAGAGATTTAACCATGGCGAATGGTTTCGAACCCTCTCCAAGGTTCAAATACACCCTTCTTCCAGGGCCCCCTCTTCCGGGTGATTAAGTCTTTTAATGGCCCTTTGATTTCTACCATCCCGGGAAGGCCTTAGCTCACCCCCCCGTTCAAGTCTTCCCTGAGAAGGGGGATATAGGATGCGCCACGGTGGACGATCCCCTTCTATTTCTTTTAATGGGCATCTTTTTAGTCCCCAATCAATTTGACGGCGCCGGCTGATTCCCCGACACGAGTCAAACCTCATGGGCCCGTGTAAGTACGGTTCGAACCCTCTTCCAGGTCCAGCCCTCTTGCAGGCATACCCTCTTCCGGGCCCCTCTTCCGGGTTTTAATATTTTTTCTATTATACTGAGCAAGACCGGTGTAGTAACCAGCGTGCCAGGTCCGGGCCTGTGTCTCAGTTGGCTTATCCAAGTGGATTCGACCCACCCAGGAAGCCCTCCTAGGATAGGTTCGACCTATCAATTCTGCCGCTACCAAATAGAGTATTGAACATCATCGGTTTGATTGATAATAAAGTAGGCCTTGCTTAGTATTACAATCATTTGTAGAACATGCGAAGGTGATGGGAATTCCAGGTTCTTTCTACCGGTACCCCTTCAAGAGTTTCTAACCGGTAGGTCCCCGGGCGAATGATAGCTCTCACCCGGTAAGGCCCTTCCTAGTTTTTGGCCAGCTTTCCTCTGTCGTCGGGTCTACTTGCTTCTCTTCTTCGTAGGACTTCATCCCCAACTTGGAAGTACCGCGGCCCAACCTTGTTATCATGGTACTTCTTCACCACTTGTTGGTATGTGCTCATTTTGACTTCCGCGGCCATTCTCCGCTCTTCGACCAAGTTGAGTTCGGCCAAGTGATCTTCCTCATTTTGTTGGGGTTGATAATTTGATTCCTGGAACGTTGGGAATTCAGCTTCGATGGGCAGCCTTGCTTCACACCCATAGGTTAGGGAGAATGGAGTTTCCCCGTGAGCCCTCCTGGGTGTTACTCGGAATGCCCATACGATGTGTGAGAGCTCTTCCAGCCACTTGTTTCCTGCTTCTCCCAGCCGTTTCTTTAGACCATCCACAATCGTTCGGTTGGCGTTTTCGACTTGGCCATTCCCTTGGGGGTACGCTACCGAGGAGCGATTGTGCTTGATCCCGAAGCCCTCCAAGTATTTAGTGAATCTCGGATTTCGGAATTGTGGGCCGTTGTCAGTGATGAGGTTCATGGGCGCTCCAAACCTCGTGATGATGTTCTTCCAAATGAATTTCTTGCATTGTTGCGTGGTGATGTTGGCCAATGCTTCGGCCTCGATCCATTTGGTGAAGTAATCGATGGCTACGATCACGAACTTCTTCCCTCCTTGGGCGACTGGGAATGCTCCGATGATGTCAACCCCGAACCTAGCGAATGGGATGACATTCGATACGGGGTGATAGTAGGTCGCCGGTCTACCGGGGTACTTGTAGAACACTTGGCATGTTCTACATTTCTGTACATACCTCTCACAATCCTGGACAATTGTTGGCCAGTAATACCCCAACAAGATGATGCGTTGGGAAAGCGTACGGGACATTTGATGCGCCGCGCATACGCCTTCGTGGACCTCCGCGATGACTCGCTCAGCCTCCCGGTTGGTTAGACATCTCAGGAGTGGCCCCCCAAATGCCCTTTTGTACAGCTTTCCATCGAGAATCTGGAATCGGGGTGCCCTGAGCTTCACTTTCCTTGCCCGGTCATCTTGTTCTGGCAAGCTCCCATCCATCAAATATTCCATCAGATCATACATCCAATGGTCGTCCGCCCCGACATAGTTTGACCGGTCAAATTGGCTTCCGGTCGTTATAGCGGCGACTTCCAATTTTCTCGATGCTTGCACGGTCGAGGATCTCTACCCGGACAAGTTTCGAAACATGCTCGGGAGCATACTGCGTCAATTTGGAGAGAAGGTCTGCATCCGCGTTTTCCGCCCGGGGAATTTGGGCGATCTTGAATTTTTCGAAGCCTTTCAATAGGGCAAGTACAAGGTTCTTGTATTGTGCCATGCGTCCTTCCCTTGCTTCCATGTTACCGGTCACCTGCCCTACTATCAGGCTAGAGTCAGATTTGATACTGACCCGGCTGATTTTCAGGGCTTGGGCAAGTCTGAGCCCTCCAGCCAGAGCTTCATATTCTGCCTCATTGTTCGTCAGCTTGAAGTTGAAGACGATTGCATGGTAGATCTTGAA